AATTACACAAAAAAATAAATAATTTCAAATAGTTAATTTGATACTAATATCGATATATTTTTGTCAATATTTTATGATATCTTCAAACATATATTTTATTCAAAAATAAAAACATCATCGATTTCTCAAAATCACATAAAGCCATATTATAACATCGACTGAGATAAAAAATAAAATGAAATATTAAAATCATGATGTATCTCGCTGCATTGCGCGAGTACGCTTCTAGTAACTATTAAAATATCAAATATGAATAAAAATGGGTATGAAAATGAAAATGAAAATGACATGAATGAATTTACATTCCCCTCAGTTTAACTTGAAATGAAAATTTGGACTTCTGAATGAATTGACCCATTATATTATAAAAAACCAAACAGTTTCTTTTATTTTCATTCTTATTAATTACTGCTTATTACCTCTTACCAAACCCCTTAATAATACATATAAAATATATAATATTGTTATTCACATTTTTAGTAAACAATAAGAATAAACTTAAGAGCAAATTGCATAAAAAAGTAACGTACTTTAACTTGATTCTTATTTTGGGTAACGTACTTTCAGAACTTTCATTTTGGTATCTAAGATATAAAGTTTTAAACATTTAAGTACCCGGGTAAGCGGTTGAAGCATTAACTTGTTACCATGCTGATGAGACGAGTGATGTGGTGTCCGGTTAATGCTTCAGCAAGTAATATTGAGTTGAATACCACATCACTCGTCACATCAGCATTGTAACTTGTTAATGCTTCAACTGGTCACTATGGTACTTAAATGTTTAAAACTTTACATCTTATGTATCAAAACGGAAGTCTTGAAAGTATGTTACGCAAAATAAGAATCAAGTTAAATTACATTTGGCAAACATAAGTTCTCTCTCTTTATATATATATATACATATATATATATATATATAGAGAGAGAGAGAGAGAGAGAGATGGTGGTTCAAATACTAACCCATTTTTTTGTGTTAACTCTACTAACCAACATCAACCAATCACATTCTTTCTTTATTTTATGTTCGAATGTAACTTATAAATTGAATACAAGGGTCATTTTGTAATTTGATCTTTATGTAACTCCCTAATAATTATTTGGGAGTTACAAATCTTTTAAGATCCCTCTAATTGATCATGAGGTAATTCTGATGTTCACGGTGTTCATATCCATGTAATGTCCATGAACATTCATCGTGTTCATATAAATGTTCACCGTGTTCATGCGATGTTTTTACAAAAGTACCCTCTGAACCATTGTTCATAGGCATCTCAATTAATATATTAATTAATGATTATTTTTATAGTCTCATTTAATAAGGACCGTTTGATGAGAAAATGAACGATCAAGATCGGGTTAACATAGTTTGCACAATAGTTTTGGTTAGTATTTGAACCAGCCCCGAGATATATAAACTAGGTGGAGGTTCAATTGTTACAACGTGTAACACCCTCATTTTCAGCATGATTTATGTTACATCATTCTCATTAAATAACAATAAATATCCAAAATAGAACGACTAGTAAAGCCTTGTTAGATCGGAGGTGTTACAAAATCAAAATAAAAATAATAACCTGGCGCCTAGCTCATACCAGGTTATGTTACAAATTGAGTTCAAACTAAACATCCTATATCTAGCAGTAATATAAATCTCTATGCAAGAACTTCGTCTTTGTCCACCCTTGAACTTCTTGCTTTTGATATACATACTAATAGTCAATTTTATAAAGCTCGGTGAGTTCATGGTTTTCGTGCAAACATTAGTCACACACACACATTTTAACCATATAAATCCAATAATAGTGTGACATACAATTTTATTGAAAATAACATCCTGACGAGATCTCTTAACTCCACTCTGTTAGGTAGGGACCTACCATGTCACATGCATTCTTGGATGTGTAGATTCACAAAGAACTAACCGTCCATTTCGGGTTGTGTCTCCCAAGATGTAACATATCGAGCCGATATCGCATACCCAGGGTAATGTACATAAGCACATGTTACCCCAATCCCCAACCATATGCATGTTATTTATGGTTAATAATCGTAAAATATTTAGCATGCTTGCACCATAATTTACAACACCATACTCATGAAATCACAAATTAATGATAGCATATGTTAACATGTAATTAAACACTTCATCAAGTATACATACAAATTCACACACCACATATATAGAAATAATTTATACATATATATACATCTCGGTGAAATCTCATGAAAGACTCATAAAAATAATAATATATGAGTTTACAATCAAAGGTCTTACTGCCATCGGCATTCATCAGGTTATACGGCTATCCCTTTGTCCGATTACCCATCTATAGGAAGTGTCTTCCCTTATGACATATCGACCCAATCCCATCCCCATTGAAAATAATAACCTCTTTATTACATGCTAATGAATGTTTAAAAACACATAAATAAATAGCAGACAACCCAAAGTAGTAATTAATATGCATGTATCAAGCCCATAAACATGTACATAAAAATAACATAATGTTCAAATAATTTGTACATAAGCATGCATCCCAATTAAAGTCTCATTAAGACTCACTTGAATAGTTACGCTTAGCTTAATCTCGTCCCTAAGTAATACCCTATAACACGTAATTATAATTCCATAATTAAAATTTCCCAAAAAGTCAACCCAAAAGTTAAATGGGTCAACCATGAGGTTGGCATGGTCAACAGATCAACCCCAAGCATACTCATCACCATGTACCCTCCCCCCTTCAATAAAATATTGCAAGTCCAAAATAAATTACGACCTATTAAACCCAACCTTTAATTATATACGATTCTCGTTTTAAAAACATCCGATCCTACAATTATCCAATCACGATCCCGGAGTGAGTTATTAAATTTATAATTTAAATGTGGAATCCCAATTAATTAAAACCCTTCATAATTTGATGTCCAAATCTTGATCAACTTGATCGAAACATCCTGATTTATTTTGATTAATCTAGGTAAATAAATGAGTCTCAAATCTATTT